ACGTTCTCGCACGCTCTCACACGCTCCCGCACTGTCCGGTTTTCACCTGTGGTTCCCACGTACCTGATCTAATAAGATATGACAGCTGCGTGTGCTGGCGGGTCTAAAACGACGTGTTTCTAATTATCCCCAGCCAAATGAATAAAGGCTGGATACTGAGGGGCCTTCAGTGGTGCAAAGAGAGTACTGGTGGTGTTCCAGCAGTGTCGGCACCTATCTCCGTACCCCGCGTGCTAATATTAGCTCATTTAGAATGCCGCCGGCTGTCGGATGTAATGGGCGAGGCCACGTCAGCACCAATCATTCGTGCTCGCTGTTGCCGACAGCGAGCTCGTGTATTTCGCGTGGATGTGCACAGATTGGAGGCGGACTTTTTTGCATAGGTAGTATTACATGTATATAATGATGTACTACGTCGTTCTACAGCCAAAATGCAATCCCTATGATGAGCTCAAACATTCAAACATCTAAGGTCACCTGTAGAATACTCTCGAGAACGCGAGCATGCTCCTCACCATCCACGTCAGCATTCTCATCGTCCTCAAGGTCCTCCAGTGCATCATCCTCGCCTTCAGGCACCATGCTAAGCCCATCAGCAACCAGCTGCGCAGGAATACAGACTATAGGGGAGCTTGCGCTGGCTCCCGGTCCTCGTTCAACACTCTCACCCGGCGTGATGGATCCTGTAAAGCCCTCCAGCATACTGATATCATGCAGGCGCTGATAGTGGTGTCCAGCGAACCGCGCGCGAATCTTGCGGTGCAAGGAAACTTGATGAGCAAGCCCGGGGTGCAAAGTTTGCAGCTGCTTCTCGCACTCTGTCAGGTACCGGCTCTCGTCGTGTAGGTAAGTGGCTAGACGTCTGATTTCGATGTCGAGACGCTGTATTTCCTCACGGGCACGGCGCGTCTTGAAATATGTATCCATGGTCAGGCGTCCGGTGGGTGTTGCCCAAGGACGTTGTGATATGTCTTGACGTGCGTCACGGAGGAGATCGAAGTCGGAAAGAAAGGCGTATTCAACGACTTCCTCCCATGAAAGGGAGGCACGCGGGGGGCGTAGTGCTCGAGCAGCAGTGTTGTACCTGTCTAGTGCCGTCCGAATGGCCGCTGACCGTACTTGCAGCGCCTTGCCAATGTGTTTGCGCAGTTTGTAGCCTGACAATGCCATCAATATTGAGTAAGACACAAGCATCAAAACTCACCCGTCCCCGCTTGATTCATCTTCGAAAGTTCAAAAATTCGAGCAACAACCAGACCCTCCAGATGGTCCAGCGCACGCTGAAACTTTCGGTTTGCCACTAGACGACCCACATCTTTCCACTCCTGGTCTTCCTGTTCCCATCTACGAGTCACGCCGAGCTTCGTTTCAAGTTCCTGGACAGCCTTGAGGTCCTTCTCGTAGTTTTCCATGGCATGCCTACGTGTCGTCTCGATCCTGTTCGTTGACGCGATATCATGGGGTCCGAACTCTACAGTGCTTGGCGTAGTGACGGTCCAAGCTGCAGTAGCAGCATCGAGGTCCTTCCTAAAAATTCGTTAGTAGTCAGCGAGCAGACAAAAGACCCTTACTCACTTGCTACCTGATAGATTCAAGAGTTTTTGCCAGTATTCCATCTGGATGGTCTCGTGGTTCGGTTCATGACTCAACGATGTGAGATAGGCTCGTTCCTCGGCCAACCAGGTGTCAAAGACACTCTTGTCCTCGAGGCCAAGCTCATGCATGAGCTTGGGCAGGGAGTTGGTGCCGTCAGAGATGATGCGGAGCGCCTGCTTGTAGTTGTTATATAAGAATGTACCTGGATACGAAAAAATCACATGTTATTCTGAGCACGCTGGTGATCGATTAAAAGACTTACTAAGATTTGCATAGATCTCATAATCATCGTTATGTTCAAAGTAATGGGCGATAGCTTGACGCCGGTGAAACACGCTCGCGTATCGCACAGAGGAGGCAAGTGCATTCGACTTCGAAAATGTCCGTTCGCAGCCCTCGAGGTCTTCCAGCCCAAGGCCATCCACATATGTGGCGAGATGGTCAAGCTGACAGAGACGTTGGTGGGCGTGTCCATGGAATGCCCCAACAAGTGAGGTATGATTGAGTTCCCGTGCGCGCTGACCTAGTGAACTACGGCTGAGTGTAGTCTTAAAGCGACAGCCGATGTCGTAACCTCCTCCAAGGTTGCTGCCGAATGTATCGAGAAGTTTTGAGACGACGGCTAGAGGGTACTTTGCTCTGAAAAATGGGTCAGCAAGCAAGCAAACAGGGGATTAATGACTTACTGTTCTCCACTTTGGACCATGTCGGCTATCACGAGCGAGAAACCATGCCTGCAGATAGACATAAATATACCTGACTCGTCGAAAACACCCCACATCTTCTTCGTCTTTTCATCTCGCATATTTTTCCAGCGTCCTGCGCAAGGATTGTCCTGCAGTCAAATTAGCACAGTGTGAAGCTAAGAATGAAGAAAATAAACCTTGTCGTCATCAAGGGATAACATATCGGCAGGCGAGTCTCTTGCAAACTGTTCGATGTACTCGTTTAACAAATAACGGTCGCCACCGACAACTTGCGTGGTGGGTAACTCTGATGAGCGTTGGGCCAAGGGAGAATTGTCGTCAGAGTCCAAATCATCCTGCGTCGACTTTTCAAGACTCGCTTAAGTGAGTCATTGCCGTCCATTGCATAGAGTAAGCTGAATTTCATGGGACTTCACCTTGCAGTTTGTATGTACATGCTGGACAAGCATGCTTTAAGCGCCAGTGAGGGTCTCCACGGCGAAGTGCCTCGTCGACTAGCATATTGACACTGGTGAGAATCTGTAGGTAAACGTCCAGCGCAATCGAGAATTGGCGAGATAGATAAGCGTAAAATTGAACCTGTTCAATGTTTTAAATCATTGCGTGTTTGGGTGTTGACATAGACATTAGGTACGCACCCCTTGCAAGTCACACAATGTCTTTACGTAAGCTTGAATAGAGAAATGAGGATTTCATTGATGTGCGGTGTGATAGAGTTCGAGGGCCTGTACTGTTAAGCCAGTAGTTGGACTTATGGGTGAGGAGGGAATGATGCCTTGTCGTACAAGGGCTGATGCAATAAACGAGTCCGTCGATAGTATGGTGAGAGGAACTTTCTCAGCGCCTATCATATAGTATGTCAGCACAGTGCATGTTTATGACGTACATCGTACAAAATACATCCACCACCTTGATCTGGATGGAACCCTCCGCTGTGTTCTCCCGGGCCTGAGAAGTGTTCTTATGGTGCGCAAAAAACCCGCAGTCGCCGCTGGCAGCATTGCTAATTGAGAGATGCCAATCGAGGTAGGCCTTTGTCAAGGCTGGCATCTGTCTATCGAATGCCTCGGTGCGCCGCCGTGTCCTATCACGCCTCGTCCTGTAGTCTGGCCTGCGAGACTTTGTATTGGCATTTCTGGGGATCATCTCAGTAAGTACTACGAGTTGTGTGATATATTATGGTACTCACATGTTGTAGAAATCCCCTAGTAGCTCTCTGGTAAGCTCGTGGAACTCTCCTCCCGCATGACTGATGTCCACTGGCTCAGATCCATCGAGGACGTTCATACCGGGGTCATTGTGAGTCTCGAAATCGAAGTCGTCCTGTTCTCGAAGCGCCTCAAGTGCGCGTTTCTCATCTGCTGTCAGTGCTAGGTAATTTTATTTGGTCAGGTTTCATACTATCACTTGGAAATTATAAGCTCACCTTCTGCGCGAGCTCGTTTGCGGATATTCGTACCAGCTGCCCGCTCAGCAATCTTACTTGGCCCTAGGACCTCTCGTGTTGGATGCAGCACACGGTCCCGATGAGACACAACGTGGCGGATCCTTGAGCTGGTAAGTCCCGTCTTGTTGCGTGGTCGTTTGTTGGGGCGTCCTAATGCCATTGACAAATATGATATAGATTTACCTTTGCGCGATCAACGACCACTCACCTGCACGGCGCACGTCAGATGCACGTGACTAACTTATCTTTCAGCGCTGTTGCCCACTGCCAGTGATCTACGACATATACCATCAGCGTGATTCTGTGAGGATCATGAATCAGAGTATTGCTACACCACCAGGTACGTTACATTATTCCTCCACTCACATTCTGGTAACTGATCAATGTAGCTTCTGAACCTTCATCTCAGAATCGCAGGCACGCCGCGGGGACCGTCACTCGCACATGGACAAGACGTACTGTGCAGACTCGTTCCCACCGAACCGTCACCCGCACAAAGACGACGGTCGATGCCACAGAGACCAAAACTGTCAGTGAGAAGACCCGCAAAGTCGACTCTGACATCACGCAGGCAATAACTGGCCCAGTAAGTGTCCCAGCCAGTAGTGCGCGCAGTTTTATCTGACATGCCACGTTAGTCGAACATTCCCGCTGTCTTGAACACTGACATTACAATACCGAGTCTCACCCAAGATTTTCCGCGGGATAACTCTCCCTCCCCAACCGACTCGACATTCACACAAACACCTCCTACCACTCCAAGTTCATCAAGTTCATCGATTTCATCAGCGCGATCGAGTGATGTGCTATGGGATCAGCTTGAGGATTTATCAGAATATATGAATGCTGTTAGTTTAGGTTGAGATCGAGTGTCGCCTGCGGGACTTTTGAGGATGTAGAACATTATCTATGGATGCTACGAAATAATGATAACACCCTAACTTCGCATTATCAGTGTGATTGACTCTTGAGTGCTGCAGAACCATGTCTGACATTTGCACGATAATTTGATGTATTGAATACCAATAATTCTAAGGCTACATAGAACAGAGTTTGTGTCCCGAAGTGTGGCTGAATGTTGCTTCAGTTTATTGGTGTATTTTCAAATCTTGCTCTACGAGAAATTGACTCGGCTTCAGCTCATCTCTCTGCAACAACTGCAACCACCATAAAACCATGCGTCCCACCATGTATAAAACTGCAGAGGAGCGTCATGAGGCTCGACTAAAATCAAAGAAGGATAGCTATGCGCGGTAGGTATCAGCCTTTCTTATCACTTCAGCATGTAACGCACCTTTAGTAGTCACCGACTTCAAGAACAAGTGAAGTCCCGCACACGATGGCGACGTCGTCGAGGGGCAGCTGCGGTGAGTACTCATCTGAATTTGACTTATGTGCATGTTGCCAATAATATCTGCACTTAGGGTACTCAAGAACTGCTTCAGCGTCTCGATAGCTTATGGTTAACGTTAGGTTACCGCGATCGGACTCTCCAACACAAATTCCTGGAGTCACATGGGATGTCGATCGTATCCGAGGTAGACCGAGAGGGTTGGGATTCAGTCAAGCCAGGATGTGAGGCAGGGCTCGCAGAGGTAAAGGACGTGGTGAAGCAGGCATATGATTTGCACACTGAGGCCCGTGATATTGATGGGCCTCTCACAGATCAATTGCGGGATGGAATAGCATCTGTTGTAGATGCGGTAGATGTGCACGTTCGTGCATGGGAGGAGTTGTTGTCAATGATGGAACACGGAGTCGATACATACTTTGATGCGCTTCGCTATGGTTCATTGGTCTGGCAAAGTACCGCATAATGCGCGTTCAGTATGCAATATCATTGTTTTCAAGTAAAGAACACTAAATTTTCGACCGCGAGCAATGACATATCAGCCTCTCCTACCCACATGCAAGCCGCTCCCTCTCCTACCCACATGCAAACCGCTCCCGCTCACCATATCAGTCAGAAGCTAAAGACATACTTTGGATCTTCCTCCCTCACTTCCTGCACCAGACTTGCCCCCACCAAGCTGCGGTATCGGTTTAGTCACGGCCATACGATCCTGCTGGCGAATCAAGTACAGAAGGCCAAGTGCATGGTATTGAGTGATGTAGCTCGTTGAAGGGATAGGTTGGTGACTGCTGTTCGAATTTCCAGACAAGCCAAAATTAAGGTAACCACTGCCGGATGATCCGGGGAAGAAGGATGATGAAGACTTTGAGCTGACACCTGGACGACATGGATGGTGGATGACCTGGACATTTGGTCTTGTGTAGTATGTAAGTCACGTGGGTCCAGGCCCTGCAGAAGCCATGCACATTGCGGAAGCAAAATGGACTGCGGAAGCAAAATGGACCCAAGTTGAGCTAAAAATAACGATCATTGTGTGTCGTTGTAGACGTCGCCGAAGAGCCTGAACTTCGTTCCGCGTCAACCTCAAAGCAAACTGCATCCCAACTTCCTGCATCCCAACTTCCTGCACTACCTCTCGCACTTAAGCGTGAACCACCTCATTCTTCCATTGTTCGGCTCATCGCTCCAAATCAGTTCTCATTATACTCCACAATATTACAGCCGGCTAGCTCAATTGACAGCAACACAACTCGCTATCGTGTCCATCCTCAATCAGCCCCAGGCTGATGAAATGTATGGGATTCAGATACCTGATGTGTACGAACGCGTGAGACAGGTAATCAAGACCACCGAGGAAGAATTCAGGTAAATGGATCGCGTTCATCATCGTAATGGTCCATGGTTTATTTTGTTGCGGCCAGCACCGACATAGAGTGGCTTCTTGAAGAAATATACATATTCAGCCCACTCGATGATGATCGCATGCGCTCACGCCTCGTGCATCAGTTTAGTTTCACCATTTGTACAAATCAGTGAGTCTCACTTGAAGCAACGGAGCTCTCCTTGTTCGTCCTTGCAATATACTAATGTGCGCCGCAACTAGAACACAATTATCTTATGGTCATGCGACCCTTCTCATTGCCTCACTGGAAGCCGCCTCCTCAGGGGATTTGAACTTGCACGTGATGCTGGCAGATGCAAGACATTACTACGGTGAATTTTTTTTTCCATGATTTGGCAAATATCTTGACGTGTTCTTTGGTTGACAAACAGCGCGTCGTGATTTTTTGCACGGTGCAGTTTTTTGGCCAGCGTGGCTGGTACAAATGCTCACATCCATGGATGGCTTCATCTTCCCTGATCCATTGTGTGGTGACACTGGCTTTGGCTTTTTAGGTGAGTCTCTTACAATGGTAAAATGTGCGCTGTGTAATAAAGTCATCGCTAGATCTCAATATCAGCAAGGATCTTGGAACGACAGGCCCAGTCCCTCCTGCACACGACATTCACCACTCCTCTCAGCCTCCGTTCCAATATTCCGAACCTTTTCGACAATTTGACCCTGGTCGCCCTGATCTCAGTTTCACTGCGTCACTGAACTGGGATGATCCCTCACTGTACTTCGGACTCCCACCTCTCAGCGCTCTGCTCAATGAATCTCACGGCGTGTCAATTCCTCCTGTATCGAGTGATATCCGGGCCACACTCACTTCAAGCAACACGGCCCCAGTTGAGGACAACACGCTCGAAAACTCAACAGAACTGGTCGGTAGTCTGACTCACAATACTGACGCGCATTCGACAATCGACGATACACAAGTAGATGGCCAGCAGCCCATTGAAGGCTCGCGTACGATGATTGCTCAACACAGCTCAGCTGCTCCACGCGTAGATTTGGCTGAAGCCAACAACTCTTCCTGGGCAGCACGGAATCCCGACAGGCCTGTTCTCGCATCGCGGGAACCCCTTACCACAGCGCAAAAAGCTCGTGCCAAGGCACAACGAGCATCACGCAAGATTACCTCCCAGCAACGCAAAGAGGCTGAAGATATGTTGAACAGCGCAATTCAACAAATGCTTGCCAAAGAAGCGCAGAAGGTGAACGACATCGCACTTGAGCATGGCGTGACTGTCGAGAAGGTCAAGAAGTTGATGGGAGGGATCAAAAATTACAAGAGCAGCCGCAGCGCACAACTTGAAAATGCCCTCATGCACGTGAAGGCAGAGCAAGTCAACAAAGGTGAATTTCTGTGCGTCATTCTCAACTGATTTATCTATTGTGTCTACAGATCTCCCGCGTGGTGCGAAATTTGGAGCTAAGGATCTCCGGATGTTGGTGAAGGAGGATACCGCCATGCAGAACTTGACAGAAGGAGAGAAGCAACAATATATCGACAACTTAATCGAACACCGCGCTATGCAGAACATGAGTGTTCGTGCGACGAACGCCTCCGCTGCACGTGATGTCCAGTCAACCCTTGATAATGTTTTTAAGATGGTAAGTTGCTTGATTTCACCAAGTCCTCACAACTAATGAACTCGTAGCTTGATAGTCTAGCAGTCCGGACCGGAATCTATGCCTGCGTGTTTGCCTCACGTGGACATGTATACGATACAGCTCAGGCAACGTGGTTCGGGACAGACAATGTGATGGATTTCTGGGAGGACGTCCTGCAAATGGAGGCAGACGAGATCGCAAGAAAACTGGAACAGTGGGCGTGCATGGCAGGTCGAAGTGTGTTTCACTTCACATTTTCACTTGCATATCTGCTGACTCTTACATTATCCTAGGCCTCGACGAACGTGAAACGGTGCAAAACATGCAACGTGTATGCACACGGCTCCTCAATTCAGGCCTAAGTACGTGTTTCGTTTCTCGCACTCACTCGATACTAACTAATTTTTTGTCAGAGACTGTAGCTAAGAGACGTGACATCCGCATCAACTATGCAAGCTTCGATACTGCTATCAAAGAGAAGCTCGGCATAGACCTGAGGGGCTGGCCTGAAGGCATTCCATTCCAATCCCCCACCAGCTTGAACGATCTCAACTCCCTCCTCAAGGTCCGTTGTGCACTGAAGGATGGCTCATGCCACTGGTTCCGCATGAGTCCCCGGCAACGCGAGGAGTATAATGCTCTGCTTGACGCACACCGCAAGAAAGGAGAGGTGGTTACCAAGCCACGCAAGAAGCGCTCTGATGCAGGGGTACCTCGCAAACGAAAGGGCAAGGAAAATTCGCACCAGAGAAAGAGGGCACGAGCACCAGGGTCATCAATGCAGGCTCCAAAGAGTGCTGAGTTTGTTTGCACATCCGAGGAGGAGAGCAGCGAGGACGAAGCTTGACTTAGTAGTAGGGTGTTGACTTTGTAAGGTTTGGACCTCAAGAACCCTGTTATTCTACCTACGAAGCATTGCAATTACAGTACTCTACGTATATCTATATATCAGTGAAAGTCCGCCTCCAATCTGTGCACATCCACGCGAAATACACGAGCTCGCTGTCGGCAACAGCGAGCACGAATGATTGGTGCTGACGTGGCCTCGCCCATTACATCCGACAGCCGGCGGCATTCTAAATGAGCTAATATTAGCACGCGGGGTACGGAGATAGGTGCCGACACTGCTGGAACACCACCAGTACTCTCTTTGCACCACTGAAGGCCCCTCAGTATCCAGCCTTTATTCATTTGGCTGGGGATAATTAGAAACACGTCGTTTTAGACCCGCCAGCACACGCAGCTGTCATATCTTATTAGATCAGGTACGTGGGAACCACAGGTGCCGGTTTTCACTGGGCATGATTTAACAGTTACCAGCTTGGCCTGGACGTCAGACGGAAGGAAGCTTATCTCCGGTTCATCACACGACCAAATTAGGATATATGACACAGCCACTTGGGAGCAGATCGCCAATTTGGAGGGTCACGCTGGGTCACAGCCATTACCTTGTTTCAGAACGACCGCCTCCTTGTGAGTGCATCATGGGATAAAACAGTGCGTCTATGGAATCTCGATACCAACCTCCAAGTCGGTCCACCCCTCCAACACGAAGATGGAGTAGACTGCGCAGCCCTTTCCGCTGATGGAAAAGTGCTGGTCACTGGTTGCCAGGACAAAAATGCATATGTATGGGATATTCACGCCATCCTCAAAGACGCTGGCCTTGAGGACCTACTATCCATTCCTCATGTGAGTTCAGATATGTACATCGTGCTTTTCGAGCCACGCTAATCTCTCACTTGCAGGTCCCAACTCAAAAGTCGTTAAAGGACGTACGTGACGTATATCTTTACCCTGTCCAATCATCTTAAGATCGAATCCTAGACTGATGCCACCAGACGTCCACCTATTCAGGCCCGTCGAATACCACCAGGTTTTTTCGATGACACCCAAGTGAGTCCTCTAGCTTTTTTGACCAGCTCTTTTTCTGACCTCTTCAGCCCTCTACAGCACGTGGTACACATACACTCTCTCCTGCACACAATCCTCGCAATCCTCACTCATCCTTATCTGCCATTCCACGTGCTCTTCTCGCACGGCTTTCGTCATTCATGCACCCCCCTGACTTCAATGCCGATGGAGAAACCGAACTCCGGCAACGCCCAATGCGCTCCATCTTCTCTCGCGGACCTCGTATCGTCGAAGTTGCTACAGTACCGGACAAGCAGGTATTTCGTTCTCCTCGTTCATTTCCTATCGCCGTAGTTCAATGATTTCTGTTCAGGCATTATATGTTGCTCCGCGGCCACGGCCACAGCAACAAAGCCAGTCGCATGCCCAGGGCCCGTTGTCTCAATCTCAGCCTACCGCGACCTCTACCTCCAACACACCCTCTCAAGGTACTAGCACTGCCGCACCAAGTGCAGCAACCCCGCAGTCACTACCCATTCCATTGTGGGCTCGTTTCGTACTGTTTCTCTGCTGCGCATCTCCACCGCACGCCAATGGTCATTAATACAAGAGCAGCATATGTACAGTCATTTTATCCTTCACATCTTCCGTCAATCTTGTTTCCTCGTCGTGAGACTCGTGCAATGCATCCAAGTCGATCATGCTAATCGTCGCGAGAGCACCATTATACTCGGAAGATAAACTTCTAGGATCAGCCCAGGTTCCTCCCATTTATAGACTTTCGCAATACCACTCATCAGCTACTATGTAGTCTTTCAGTCAATGTTTGCAGATTTCAACCTCGGACGACTGTCTGACATCCATGCACCAAGTTCTACATTTACATACTAGTATTTCGCAAAAGGCCACTCAGTGCAAGCCTCGATCTCGATAATATTATTCAAGCAATCTTCTTTTTGGGCAGTGGACCACACACGACAGTCGACTTATTGAGAGAGGCAGCGTAAGTATCATCGATGTTTGCGCAGTCTTTTCCTCCGTTGGAGCCTTGAAACATCAGTTTCGTACAGGGATGCATAATTACATGTGTGCGACTGCAGTAACCGGCCATACACGCCAGCGGTTTTTTGTTCATGATATTGAGCGTTGGCATTACATCTATCGATTCGCAGGTACTGACACCTTTGCCCATGCACCAGTGAGACACCCAGACTGCGGCATGAATCAAGTCAGCAATGAATTGGGTATTGTGCCGTCATCGGGGAACACTTCCTTTGGGAACTTGATGAAAATATTCAAACTCGCATCGAAAACAAGGGAATTTCAGGGAATTTGACTACTTTGAACCAACTACTTGTATCTCGAACCTATTTCAGCAAACTTAGTTATATTGTTCAGATGATAGTTCAATAAACATGCCTGTCACTGAACGAGTTTACGAAGAAGGTGGAACAGAGCTCCAGAACAGTACTGCTTGTCCACGAGGCGCTACTGCACCAAAACTTGGAATAAGATCAACACTCCTGCGAATGTCAGGTATGTCAATAATGCTTGTAAGATGCTCTCCATGACGAACCAAGCGGCAAACTTTGTAAAGCCCATGGTATGATTCGAGTGGCTCGAATGGTGTGAATCATTCCACATAGTAAGCAAGCCTGTGGGTGGGTGATTTTTGCAGGTCCAGCGGGGAATAACAAGTTCGTAGCTTGGCTTGTCAGTGTGAAGACAACAAGGACTTGCGCAACACGATATCCTTTTGTGATTCAGTCAGATTAGCGACAATATTTGCACAATGCAAATACATACCATCACACCTGTTATCCTCGTACCGTCCCCTTGATTAACTAAAACAGTATCAAAGCGCGCGACCATGCGCCTTCTATCTTTCCGTGATGGTTGGCGATGCACAGAATCCAGTGACACTTCAGTCCCCGACTCTTTCGCGCACTCCGTCAACGAGTCGTGGCTCACATGTTCAGAATCCTATACAGCTTTGAGCAGATGTTCAGGGAAGTAGATCCCCGACTCAGCAGTCTATCCAAGTAAGCAGGTGAATAGTCAACGCAAGCCTGAGGTTTGAACTTACCAGTCGAACAATGCCTGTGGAATAGTCGCGGTTTGGTGGTTTACTTGCACTCGGGACATGCGCACATCCATCCCGAGCGAATGTCCAATTCCGTAAGGGAAAAAGGCTGAGCTGATTCCAAAGCGCAGAATGCTGCCTTTTGAGCCTTTGAAGAGTCCAAGGTCGAGGAAACTTTCCACAAAAATCTGATGATAGAGCAGCTGGATGGTATCGAAGTGGACAACAGGTCTGGGAGTTTTCACTGATTTCTATGCAGAAGTCTTGCATGACGGTGTGAAAGATGCATATGAAGCTTACATGCTGCATTTAAAAACAGAGTAGCCTCTCTCAGGAAAATTCCCACCGTTGCCAACAGGCATTGTGCGTGTAACTTGAAAAGTTCAGACCGGTCTGGGCCGTCTGGCATTTAATCGCTGCAACGCAGTGTCCGCAGAGTTTGCCTATAATGCATGTGAAGGCTGAGTGATCTGCAGAGACCCGAAGATAAGCTATTACCTGTTCCACCTGTCAAATTTGAGTCCTCAAGGAGCATTAGTCCAACGGCACATCTGAGCGGTCATAGCGGTGGGCAATGACGTTCACAACACCCCAGTTGATCTGGATAATTTTGATTCCTTATCTATGTCGTTGGGATAGAATTGCTATCGTCTTGATTAAATCATGGAACGATCAATTGGCCAGGGGAGGGTAAAAGTACAATAACAGAAGATCACGAAATATGTTCCGCATCAGTCCTGAGCGATTCTGAACTCCAAGAGCATCGTCCCTACAAGATCATACGTTTGGGTGAGTACTAGACCTGCACTGGCCCTGCAAATTATAACAAGTCAAACATCGTCAATGTATCCAGGCATGGAAGGAACTTGCCCAATGTCCTTGAATTCCTTCAAGGTTCGCTCCTTGCCATTGAAAAGAAACCACATGATCATGTCCGAGTGGTGTGTTGTGTGACTACCGAAGTTCAGTAATGTAGGTTCGGGCGCCTTATGATCCTGAATGTATGATTACATCTTAGCCATCAAGCTCCACTCAAAACTTACCTCGCTAGACTCGTTAGCCCCTACGTCAGGCCCTTCGAATACGCGCGAGAGCACGCACTCATCTATCATATGATATTGAGTCGGAAGCAAACCCCATTTTGAAATGCAGCCGACTCACGTATCAACACTCGGCTGTTTGGTCCCATTGCTTTGCGAACATTATGGAGAATCACCCTCGACTCTTCATCCGGCCAGTCATGAATGATGCTCCTCAACTTGGTCGATTAATGAACAGTCCGCGTTGAATAAGAACAGACTTAGCACTCACGTAGTAAACATCCTTTCCGACGACGGGCGACTCCTCCAAGAAATTCAGTGGCACGAACTCTACACGCCCGTCGAGCAGTAACTCAGGAGAATTCGTCTCCCATGTCTGATCAAATATGAATATAACTTGTCTGCTGTGGATGTCCGGACTCACATTTCTTGACAGCTTTATAGTTTCTGGGAGATCTTGATTGGTTATTTTGAGATGAGGGAACATTTTAGCCAGAGGAATAGACATCGCTCCAGTTCCAGATCCAATATCCACAACAGAGGATACATTGTCCCAAGGGTAATCTTATGGCCCGCTTCAGTCATGCTGACGGTTGAAAAAATGGTCATCACTCACGATGCAGCACCGCAGATGAGTCCTGCATCTCAGAATAGCCCATCATGGCTTTGTGAAATATCTGTGTATAAGATTCTGTGAGCCGTCAGTCAGTCATGAGCTGATGGATCCGCACGCACATCGCGTGCCTCATCCTGCACAATATGGTAAGACATGAAAGGCCACTATGATGACTAAAACTCACGTCCATCTCCCAGTAGCTGTCGTTTTTTTTGCCTTCCTTTCCGAGAGCAAATGCTCGTGGGGCTCTTTCAACCTTGTCCGACCTTGCGAACTCTTGGTCGACCATAGTATCATAGAGAACCGCAGCATATTTAGGGAATTCTCGCTGAAGTTTTATCCAAAACCCGACGTTATTTGTTGCCTTGAGCACGAGGGAGAGTCGCGTGTTTGCAAATATGTCTCGCTTAACTATAGAACACCAAAGGCCTCAGAGAGAATTATTAACTGACAGTATTATGCACATTACCTTCTTTGAAGCAACCCCTGAGGGCCAAAACTCGCAACACGCGTGCAACCTTGGTCTTATCGAGGTTGACTGCGTCAGCCAACACATCCAAGCTAAGACCGTCCGCGTGTTTGTCCAAGACGTCTGCAATACGTGACTGCAGAGCGACGTCTATGCATGCCCAATTGTAATTATGAACAAACTAGGAAGATGAGCAACAGGGCATACAGGGTCATTTATAATCGGCACTTACATTATTCACTGTGCGTTGGGGGGGAGCCAGTATTGTATTCAATTGCTCGCATGCACCTTCGAGCAGCCTGATTGCCTTTCTGAGGGCAAGCGTATCTGTCGCAAAGTCAAGGGGGTGGAATGTGCCTGCATCGACACCAGGGACTCCATGTCCAGTGTTCTTGTATTCCGCCATTGCTTTGCGGGCAGAGGAGTTGATGATGTCCAAGAGGGCTTCAACCTTGAGTTCATTTGGGTCCATCATTTTTGGGAGTGTGCATGATTCCTCATCAGCCGTTCAGGTTTTATATTCCTCGACCAAATATCATCTAGCTGCTTTTCCGCGGCGAAGACATTCAATATTGGGTATGTGGAAGAAGATCGAAGCTACTAAAGCTAGTCTGATCACTCACAAAACCTGACTTCCGACTCAGATGATGCTGGAATTCGCAGCGTGCATCAGCAAGGGGATATCATCAGGTGTACGTTTGTGTCATCAGTCAGCGCTCAGCTACTGTAAGCAAGGCTTACGCACGCATTATCAACGCGTCATCAACATGAGGTAAATGACCTGAAAGTGACAGTCTTAGAAAGCTTTATCTGATCTAAAATATGCACAATATATATACCTTGCATGAGAAAGCTTTGAAGCATGAAGATTTGAATACCCGGAGTCCCGGATGTACTTAGGGCGCGCTCAGCTAACACGTCACGTGAGCTTGATGTCGGAGATTTCTATTTTTGGTTGGCGGTCCTTAAAATGAATTGGAGGCCCTCAATTTGCCGGCGGCATTACAACTCGCTTGGAAGGCAACCCGAAAATTTTGGAAGCCGCTTGAAAGCGACACCAGGGGGCTTCCAAGGCGGTCCCAAGACTGTTCCAATGCAAGAGCAAAATTTCAAAGATATTACCCTTGGAATGTCATTGCAAGTCACATATGGTGATGTTCCGGCCCGGCTTCAAGCCCCGGGCCAGCCAAAGCCGGGCCAGATTGAGCCAGGCCAAGCCCAGGCCCAGGTGACGGCCTGACCAGGGCTTTGGCCTAGGCTTCAATTCTGCGAAGCCTGAGCCACCGGCCCAAGCCGCAGCTTAGAATTATGTAAGTACTGCGCAGGAGCCTGATTGTCGACTCTATTTTTGTCATTTTCTTGCTTCTCTTTAGTTCTTGCTTCCTAGTCCATCATACTGTAGGGTATGTCAGAATGACACGGTGAGTCGCCATTGTCGTCTTCTTTCAAAGCTCTCACTAATACTCACCCCGGTGATGGAAAAACAGACATCACCCGCCATATCATATTGCGCTGTTTTCAGCAATCTATGCACCTCTCAAGTCCTACTTTGTGCTGCAGCTTCGTGAGCTTGATGGATTCTTGAACAAGTTTCAGTCATTTATAAATGGTATGTGTGTATTTTATCTGTGTAGCTGCCTGCAATGACTGGCATGACGGGCACAGTTCTCACCGATGGCGAAGACAGGCCACATGTTGTGCGTCCTGTATAGTGCTGCCGTGGTCCGGTTTGGTCCGGTTCAGAGGGTCTTCAACAAGAACCGAGAACTGGACCAACGGTTCGGTTTGGCGAAATCGTTGAACCCAGAACCGGACCATTGAGAACCGTTCTCAACGGTCCAGTTCGGTTTTTTTGTGGTCCGAACTCGAACCGAACCATAAATTTTTCTATAGGGACAGCAAAAAATAATTGACGAAATACTAGATACACATTGAGTAACTAGTCTAATAAAATTTGCGCGTACCCCTCTGCCTCTGTAGCTGCCGAAAGACGTCCATTACAGTAAGTGGCCTTCATTAACTGTAGAGCAGAGAAGGTGGATGATGCAAGTGCATTGCGGCGCAAGGTTGATGTGATGACGATTGTGATAACGAGGGTCGAGGACTGGTGGGGATAACGGCGAGCAGCAGCAAGAGATGGGATAATGGCGAGCAGCAACAAGAGATGGTGGCGAGAGCAGCGTGAGACCCAACGGCGAGCAGCGGATGTCCAGACAAGCAATTTGAAGTAAGCTGCCTTGTAAGGCACGCATCAGTGAGAGTGTTGGTCAGAATTGAAATCATTTTACCTCCATTGTCAGCAAAGGAAGACATTCAGGACAATGAGAAAGGTACGTACGATTTGAGTCACGCCTCCATTCTCAGATGTTGCCGTCACTTTTTTTTATACACAGAACAGGGAGAAAACACCTGCATGTCTCGAGTGAGAGACAGTGGGGTGAGAGACAGCGGGCGAGAGACAGAGGGTGAGAGACAGAGGGCGAGAGCAGCCAGCAGGCGTGTGAGACAGTGAGCAAGAGACAGAGGGTGAGTGAGACACGGCAAGCGAGCCAGTAAAAGCCAGCCAGCAAGAACAGCAAATGAGTGAGAGGGGATGCGGTGAGGTGGCGGGCATCAACATAGGCGCAGGTGGCGTGGCATGTGATGGGCTGTGCGCTGGTAGCGATGGGTGCTGGCCTGCACAGTGTTGTAGCCGGTCCTCAATGAATAGAACCTCCTGTTATAGAGGTGAGCGGGTGAGAGACCTGAGAGTTTAATTAGTTAGTACTTACCTTCGAAAAGGCTAAATGTAGCTTGATTAATCAACAACGTGAATCCCGAAGACGACAGTCTGACGTCGAGGCAGATGCTGTCGAAGTCGAAGTCGATAAGGGTTCGGAACGGTTCGGGAAGGCCAAACCAGAACTGGACCGTTTGGGAAGATCTAGAACCGAGAACCATTTTCCGGTCTGGTTCTGGCTGGTGCGAGAACCATGGACCGAACCACAGAGAACTGGACCAAAAGTCCGGTTCAAACCATGGTTCTGGACCGGACCACGGCAGCACTAGTCCCATATGCAAAATCAAACCCACTGCTGCCCTCCTTCAACACTCGGAGAAAGCGGCTCTTCCCTCCCAAACAAAAGCTATCAATGATTTCCGTGCAGCTGAGGCCACCAAGCGTGCTTCAGAGGTTTCTCAGCCTGCTGCACTCACAGCGCCTCCCCCATCCAACAAACATGTGTGTCCCGATGATGCCCTTGATGATGCCCTTGATGACGATGAATCTGGTGATATGGAGCGCGAGAACGCTCGTGTCAACCCTAAGTGTGCTAGAAGGAAGCACAAGTCCCCAGAGAAGTCCCCAGAGTTAGTTGATGAAGATGGGGTTCTTGTTGATGTCGACGTTTCTATCACAGACCCAGGGTCATCTTGGGCAGGCAAAACTGCTGACATTGATAACTTCTTTGGTGCAGCGTTTGAACACACTGGCGCTAATGGCAAAGTGAAGAAGCACAGAAAGTGCAACATTTGCCCGTAAGTTTGCCTTTGCACTGTCATAGTACTTACTCACTCAATCATTTGTAGGAAAAAATGTATTCTCGTCAATAAAGCCACTACCCTTCGTCATCATGCCGAGACACATTTTGGCGGCAAGTATCGGAAGTGGGCAAGTGAACATTCATTCAAGTCCATGTTACCTGGTGACATCAAGGCTCGCAAGGAGAACACTGTGCAGCAACGAATTAATGCCCATCTCACTGAATGCAAGCTTGACGAATGAGTCATACCATACTCCGATAAGTTGTTTAAGCAAGCTGCCATTGAATGGCTTGTAGCCACTGATCAAGTACACCTGCTTCCGAGCCCCTTCAGTGACAAATTCCGTATTATACGGGCCACCCAACCTACATGATATCCCGTATGAGACGGGCCAGCGGATTATGGGCCCATGTTGTGTATATTCTCGATGATGACGGATGGGCTGGGACACATATTATTTCCGATGGAGACGGGTGGGCCCATGTATGCCAATGATATATATATCCTTGATGTTGACGGATGGGCCAGGGGAATATGATCATTCATGGAGATGGGTGGGCCCATCAGGGTAATATGTAGAGTAGGATATTATAGACAGCTGGGCTGAAGAGAGATGTAAGGCAAATATTGTTATATAGACGGGTGGGCCGACGGGGGTGTATTACATATATGGGTGGGCCGAGGTAGGGGAATATTACATAGATGGGTGGGCTGACGCGGGGTGTATTACATATACAGGTGGGCCGACATAAAAAGTATTACATATATGGGTGGGCTGACGGAAGGGATATCAAATAGACGGGTGGGCTGAGGGTGTGATAAAATATTTATTACATAGACAGGTGGGCCGAGGTGGGGTATAATTATATAGACGGGTGGGCCAACATAGGATGTATTACATAGACGGGTGGGCCGACGTGGGGGATAATACATAGATGGGTGGGCTGACGTGGGGGAATTGTACATAGATGGGTACATATATGGGTGAGCCTAGATACGTATAAATGTCAAATTTTCAGTGCAAAACCCCAAACCGAGATTTACCAACCCCCGAAACCCGAAATTGTGGACTGCCGGGTGTCGGGTTTCGGGGTTCGGGGGTCCTGGAACTCGGAACTCGGTATGTGAGACAAAAATATATTTCATACACGGGTAAGTCAATGTGTCCGTCAATCAACTCGATTGTAAATTATATTTTATTGATCTCCCCAAATTTCCCAAGTTCCGAGTTCCGAGTTCCGGGACCCCCGAACCCCGAAACCCGACACCCGGCAGTCCACAATTTCGGGGTTCGGGAGTTGGTAAAATGTGTATGGATAGATGAAAGGCTGATTTAAACATTTTTGAAAGATGTCCCATATGAAATGTTAAGTCCCGAATTTTGAACTCCAGGTTTCGGGACTTCGGGCTTCGGGACTCCAGAAAGCCGGAAATCGAAACTTGGGACTTGACATTTCATATGGGACATCTTTCAAAAATGTTTAAATCAACCTTTCATCTATCCATACACATTTTACCAACTCCTGAACCCCGAAATTGTGGACTGCCGGGTGTCGGGTTTCGGGGTTCGGGGGTCCCGGAACTCGGAACTCGGAACTTGGGAAATTTGGGGAGATCAATAAAATATAATTTACAATCGAGTTGATTGACGGACACATTGACTTACCCGTGTATGAAATATATTTTTGTCTCACATACCGAGTTCCGAGTTCCGGGACCCCCGAACCCCGAAACCCGACACCCGGCAGTCCACAATTTCGGGTTTCGGGAGTTGGGTCCCGGCACTCGGAACTCGGTATGTGAGACAAGCAAAATATATTTCAAACACGGGTAAGTCAATGTGTCAGTCAATCACCCGAACCCCGAAATTGTGGACTGCCGGTGTAGAGACTCATGCCTCTCATGGTGTGATATGGCACTTTTCACTAGGGAGTTCATTGCACGAACTTGCAGCACCATTCTGTGTGCTATCTGCAGCTATCCCTATATGAGGCGCAGCTTTCCCGCGCAAGGCGCAGCATGCGCGCACGACTTCCCGCGCCTTACGATGTATACGCGCGCGCGCTTTCCCGCGCTTGAGCGCCCTATAGCGCCAGCCATCCGGAAGCATCCATCCATTGTCCACCAAGTTCTCTAGTGCGTATGTTTCCATTTCCCTTATTTACATATCATTCCACCTTTATTTATATCATGGACCCTTACTTACATACATATATCTTTACATACCTTACTCGGTAGCGATTCGGCTCCGCATGACAGTGCTTAGGCGCGCCATATAAGCGCCAGCATTACATACTGAATGGACTTTGGAACTTTGCACTTTACCTCCCACTTACCCATCTACTACCTAGCAGAATATAGTTGCAATCTATTCCTTGGCACTTTGCACTCACATCTCTTGTTATTCATCATATCACCACTTAAGCAAACTCACTCTTACTCTCACTTGTTTCCGCTCACGCGCGCGCACGCTTCCTGCGCCTCGCGCGTACCTTCGCTTTCCCGCGCCTCGCACGCACCTGCGCGCTTTCCCGCGCTTCGCATTGGCCGACCAGTAGCGCCTTCAGCGCCTACTACCAGATCCTTGCTGCACTCGCTTCCCCTTTAGGGTCGAACGCACTTGTCGTCTCAAGTATAGCAGACTAGGCAACGCGCGACCTTACAACATTCACAGATACAGTCAGGAGCTTTGTTTGTTCCTCTCTGTATTGTTGTTTCTACACCGGGTGTTGGGTTTCGGGGTTCGGGGGTCCCGGAACTCGGAACTCGGTATGAGACAACAAAAATATATTTCGGGGTTTGGAGGTTAGTAAAATGTTTATAGATATACGGAGGTTGATAGAAACATGTTTGAAAAATGTCGTTCGTCTCAAATGTCAAATCCTGAGTTCCGGGCTTTGGGACTCGGCACCCGGCACCCAGCACTCGGGGTTCGGCACTGAAAATTTGACATTCGGGTGTTAGGGTGTAGGGTGATATCTACCTCAATCTACAGTTTCGAGTTCTGGATATCGGGACTGATTATTGAATCATTCAATTGTGGCATAGGTAACATGCATTGAAAAAGATTTATGTACATCTATCACTGAGCAATTATGTAGCCATTGCGACCTCCTCACCAGGAAGATCAACCTTCCCCTCAACATCCATATCCTCATCAGAGGAATCATATTCTGGCAGGAGGTTACCTGGTTCATTGGGGACCACAATATCGCCGGAGGATTCTGGCAAGAGGTTGCCTGGTTCATCAGGGAGCACAATTTCGCCGGAGGATTGTGGACCCTCAGGCTGAACTTGGGTGGGCTCAACCATGAGACCTACCATAGCAGATCCATCCTCAACCATCAAGGGTGTGGGTTCCATGACTGACATGTCCAAATCAATGAGGTTGGAAAGTGTGGAGGGGAGGGGTGAAATGGATGGGGGGGGACCAGATTGATCAAGCAAGATTGTTGCATCGGCCGGTGTGTCCGGAAGTGAAAATGAAGGGTGCGGGTCGACCATCGTGCACCAGAGGCTCTCATGGAGGCGTTGCAGGGTATCAATCTTAGCATCCTGCTCCTGCACCCGAGCCTCAAGAATAGCGATGCGAGCTGCACCATCCCGAATCGCGATTGCCATGGAATGGAGATCCGGCATGGGAACATCGAGTGCTGCACGAGGCACTGCGGAACTCGAAGACCGAACAGCTAAGTAAAAAATAAGGTCAGCCGGTCATGAAAAGTGTGGGTGACTTACGAGCTGGCGCAGGTGCAGGTGCAGGGGCAGGGGCAGGGGCAGGTGCAGGTGCAGGTGCAGGTGCAGGTGTCTTCTTGGTAGTGATGGTCTTGCTGCGACCACATGACTGCACCTGGGGTGTACTTGCAGCAGGGATGGCCGGAGTTCGGGACGGGCCACGAGATTGACTACGAGTCCGGGCCCTTGACCTGGAGGGAGACGGAGCAGTGGATGGAGCAGGGGCAGGTGTCTTGGAATGTGTCCGTCCCGTGGTAGACTTCCCTCGGGTCCGTTTGGGCGGGGATCCCAGAGATGCCGGGTTGCATTTGATCTTCTTGGTGGAGCAGCGGATGCAAGACAAGCAGGGGAGGCTGGACCTCTTGTCCAAACGAGTCGCACAGGGCCAATTCTCCTTGACGCAATAACGGCAGGGGTTGTTCTGTGGTATCCGTTAGTAGATGGACTAGGGGAATTAATTGAGCACTCACTGGGACGGGAATGGTGATATCAAATGTGGTAGTGGCCGGAGGGTCACCATCCGAAGCGCTGGAAGTATCACCAGAGGACTCCTCAACTTCCGGACGACTGCCGGAGGTTGCCTGATAAATTGTAAGTACACATGTGAGTTCCGGGCGAGCTTGTAAGACTTACCCGAGCCTCCGGACGACTGATGGGAGATTCCTAATGTGATGGGCATGAGTAAGAATGATACATGCAAGTTCTGGACCTGTCCGGAAGACTCACCATGACCTCCAGACGCTTGCCGGCAGTCAGCTGTGGACACATGAGCATATATATGAGTTCCGGACGACTAAATCAGACTTACCGAAGCAGGCCCAAATGATTGCTTCTTGGGGGAACCAGGTGAACGAGGCAACTGGGGCTTCCTTACAACAATGGTGGAGAGCTGGGGAAGGACGACCTCCGGCACTCCACGCGAAATTGGCTACAACAAATTGAGAGCATGTCACAAATGAGCCAGAACACATACCTGAACAATTGGGTCTTCATCATCTTCCGACTCCACAAACGGCTTTGACTTGGGGAGTCCAGTTGACTTGACACGCTTGTGACCCTTCATCGCCGACTTCGGAGGTTGGGAGGAGTGTCCAGAAATCATGGGGGACTTCCTCTTGTTGCTCCCTCCGACTTCCGGCTCCAAGTCAACAGAAATGGCCTTACCTTTCCCTTTGTCCCGGAACTCGGAGGTCGTCTTGCCGAAAGGTCCGGCGACATTGCCGGCGACGACGGGAGGGGAGTAAATGACAGTGGAGGGGAAAGGGCCAGGTGCGGGGGAAGGGACAGGTGGAGACGGAAGATTGACAGTCAGTGGGCCAGTGGAAGGATTAGAAACAACAGGGAGATCACAGGAATTGTCACCCAATGCCTCCCAGGCACGGACCTGCTTGCGCCAGGCGTGTCTAGCCACCCAGGGATCATCATGGCCAATGCTGTGCCAGTTGGGCAACACCTGGGGAGTCATGGAACACACCCTCATCAGCTCCTTAGAACAGGAAGCCACAATGCCAGGGATGTAATCCCCTTTCTCATGCACCCGGATGATGTCAGCCTACCCGGATATTAGAAACATCAATGGTAAACTAATTTAATAAGTGCAACTTACCAACAGATTGGTGACCTGCCTTGCCAGAGCAATGTGGACGTGCACTGAGCCGGCCGGGACGTGCTGGGCGCCGGCAATGATGCCCACAAGTTGAGCAGTGGATGCCTTGAGGTCGGCCAATGAAGATTGAACTGGAGTAGACATTTGGATTGAGTTGACAGATGTGAGAATGTTGAAAGCAGGGTGAAATCTGTTATCACTAGAATGAAGTTTCAAAGAAACAATACAATTGAAGGACAATGTTGAAAATCATTGATTGTTTGTCTTTGTTTGGTCATGGTTCAACTTTCGGCAATCGCCGGCCATGTGTTGAACTTCGACGTTATCTGTTATCAATCAGTTCATCAGTTCATCAGCTCATCAGATATCATGAGCTCTCAACCTGGGGTCAGATTTCATGACCCTCCGGTCACTGAATCCACCTCAATGGACGTGGATGAGACCTCCCAGTCCCGGATGTCCCTTGGTATGTTTTGTTTCTGCTGATTTCAGTGAATTGATCTTACATGGTTTAGATCCATTAGATGATATATACCTTGGGCCGGATGATGAGTTAGACTCTGATTCTGGGTTATCCAGTGGTTTGGATTCGTTAAATGTGATTCCCGGTATGTTTCTCAATTCAAATGTACATATTCTACATGTGCAAATCCATCGCATACTTCCAGATCCATCATATCCGGCCCTGGCAGATGGACTGGCCCTGTACGATGACCCGGACTTGTATCTTGGTCCGGAGGATACCTTTATTTCGTCTGATGATGCTCCGGCTGTACCCGATTTTCCTATGGCTGGTGAGATTATTCTTTGCATCTCATGTTCATTTTTCATGGCATTTCCCCAGTGAATGAATCGACTCCCGAACCTCATCCGGCCACTCCGGCTGTACCAGAGGCACCCATACCTTGTACGTGTATTCATATCATGTCATGTGTTCTATTCATGTTATCTCCCAAGCGAATTCAGAAACTCCCGAACGTCAATCGCCCGAGCTGGAACTCAACAATGAAGAACTGCGTGCCATGGTTCAGGAGTTCATGCCAATCGGATCTTATGATCAAGCTGAAAGTATGTATACAACAGTTGATTATTTATCTCTGCTAATGTTCTGCAAGTTCAAACAATTGTAGATCGCCTGGGTGATTACGAACAGAGTCATGGAAATCTTCCTGCCCCTACAGTAGCACAACTTCTTGAGGCTGACAGACCATTCAGGATGGCATGGGCTGAAACATGCGACAAACTGCGGAAAGCAGATGCGGACCTCCGGAGGATGCAAAGGGTAAGGGAGTCAACCTCCGAAATGCTGAAGGTATTAGATACCCTCATTGAGTTCTTTGAGGACTCAAGTAACATGTAAATATCGATCAATGTCTGATAGTAGACACATTGCAGTATACTTTACCTACTCAGTACTTAGTCCTTCCTCACTGCCTGGTGTTCTGTGCTCGGTACTCGGTACTCGGTACTCGGTGCTTGGTGCCCAGTGATCGGGGTTCGGGGTTCGGTACTCGGGGTTCGGTGCAGTATACTTTGCCTGCTCAGTACTTAGTACTTGGTACTTGTATACTTTACCTACTCAGTACTTAGTCCTTGGTACTTGTATACTCCACCTACTCAGTCCTTGCTGCCCGGTGTTCTGTGCTCGGTACTCAGTACTTGGTACTCGGTACTAGGTGCTCGGTGCCCGGTGATCGGGGTTCGGGGTTCGGTACTCAGGCCTTGGTACTGGAGATTTGGGATTTAAGATTAGGTCGTTAGTACTTTGACATATACACAATAGCACATATGACATTACACATGACGGCAGGAAGATATATCTACATTAAGTGCGTCCCCATGCTCTGGTTACTCTAGGTGTACTGTCTACTGGCATTTGCAACTTACTCCGGGTTGTCCTCGTGGATGGTTCAACTGTGACTTTCTTGCCCCGCCCCCTTTTCTGTGCCGGCGGCGTGATACTCTCTTCCATTTCAACATCCTCTCTAACTTCGCTGGTCGCGTCTTCAGTTAACCCAGCAAGGAGGTCGCCCATTCTTGATGTCAGTAATGCACCTTTTTTGGCCGGCTTGGCCAGGCGAGGCTTTGGAATTGCACGTGGGACTGCCGTCCCTTTTGGTGTAGGACCTCCCGTCCTGGGTTTCTTCAGTGGATGTCTCCCGTCAGCCAGGTCATCATCCACATCATCCTCCGTATGATTAGTGGCACTCTCCTTATCACTCTCGGCTTCTGTCGATGAATCCTGAGGCCCTCGGATGGTAACCCTCTGCTGCTTTCTCACTATACTAGTCTGAGGAGAGGGCGACTTGCCAGATATGACAGATGGTACCATGTCCCCATCTTTGTTCTTCCATGCTTTGAACAGAAATGTGGGACCTTCTCCTGTTTCCTGCCAAGCATGCCAGAAATGGAGCAAGGCAGTCGTGTCCCAATTTTGCAGCTTTGAAGGCTCCTTCAAGTCAACATCTGCCGGAAGATACGTCCAGGCCACAAAGTCATCCTGACTTTGTACAATGGCACTCCATGGTACAACCGCCTTGTCCTTCCCAGAACATATCCCTGTGTCCATGCATTGAACAATTTGTCAGATGATGCGACGAGAAACTCACTATAGTGCGATGTAAGAAAGGCCCTCACTATGGCCTTCTTCTCCTCAAGTTTCGTGTCGGTGATGTCGGGAAGGAGTGGCATACCCTCCCCGTCCATTTCGAGTTCGAAAGCTGGTTTTCGAATTCTTTTTCAACCTCCCTTGACCTGACGTCCTCCATCCCGTGCCCCGGCACCTATCATCGTGATGCTCAACATGTTCAATCTGGTATACATGGTTCAAACACTCACCGAACTGTTCCTGCATGTACTCCTGCCACACTGGCTCAATGTCCTCCCAGTCCTTCGTCTTCATGAAGCTGTCCCCATCTCCTAAGGCCTCGTTATCATCATGCCTGCATGAATATTTTCAGATGAAAGATCCATGTCAATGGGTAAATGTACTCACATCCCGAACAGCACCTCTCCCTTTTCATTCTTCCAAGCCGACATCACAAAAACTCTCATCCCACATTGCCTCCACATCTCTGTTCGAAAAGTGCTCCATATATGCCGGACCCTTCTTACGGGCGACTTGTGCTTGTATCTCCGGAGGCGGACAGTTGTTGGACCACTCTTCCGCTGTTTCTTTCGCCTTCTCCAACTCGTCGTCGTCCAATTCAGCCATGACTCTCTTCACCGCCGCCTGATAATGTTTGAACATACCAGGATCTCCGGGCTTTACCCCCGACTCATCCTCAATCCTCTTCAGCACCTCTTCGTGTTTCTGCTGGTAGACCACCATCCTGGGCATCCATTTCCTCCCATACTTGATGGTGTCCTTCCTTTCCTTCTTTTTCTTGTTGTTGAACAACCAAGTCTTGTACACCTAAGATTTGATGAAAAAATGTGATGTTGAAAATTTAGTTTTTCAACGCAACAAAGGAGCATCACCTGCTTCCTCTTTTTCCATTGTTTTTGGTCCACCTTAGGAGCAAACAACCTGGCCGCCCTTGCTATGGCAGTGAAAATCCCCCTCTTCTCACTCCTTTTGGCGGCAGTCCACTCAGGAAGGTAGTTCTTCAACTCCAAAATCTCCTTGTCTGTGAGCTTCTGAGACTGTGGTTGACGCGCCCTGTGTCTTCCGGAAGTTCGTGTTGGTGGAATGACCTGTTCTTGCCATAGTGAATCAGAATGCAGAACGGGCTGAGGATTTGCAAGGTAGAAGTATTAATGAATTGTGCGAAGTTGAACTTCGAGCAAAGCCTAATAATCTGTTAATCGGCCCATATTTGACAAGAATCCATTAATGGAAATGAATTTGTAATGAGCCAACAGGACTGCACAGCATCATATTGCAATAACAATTCATTACACCTGAGCTGATGCCTTGCTTGCATCATTAGTAAACAAGATGAAGATAGGTAGATGCACCCCAGTGCAAAAATCTCACAGGGTGGAAGCAAGGGGCAGCAAAGGTAGGAAGACTTGGGTCAAGGTCCCACTTGCAAGCACGAGGCGACATGCCTACAGGTCCATGCCTAACTCTCCCCCAGAATCACCAACAATTCAGCCTGTTAAGGCACCACCTCCTTGGGAAGACTTTCCTGACAATACTTATGAGCAGGACCAAGGCTCCTTTGAGCCTTTGCAACTCCCAAAAACCATGGCAAGTTCATGTACAATGTTGGAGTGTCATTCAAACTATGGCTAAGCATTCAAAAATACAGAGTCAAAATGACTACCTCAGGCAATGGCTGCCAAGGCAGGAATCATATCTACATCACCTCCTTGATCGAGAAGCTCCACCAGAAGACAGGAGATGCATCATCTGCGAACAGGATGGGGTGTACAAATGTCAAGATTGTCTTGGCGAGCCACTCTATTGCACGGGCTGTTGCAGGAGTCAACATCGTAGCAATCCTTTCCACTGGATCAGTCAATGGAATGGGCGATTCTTCGAGCGGAGTTGTCTCGCTCATGTGGGACTCATTATACACCTTGGCCATGATGGCAAACAATGTCCGGAGGTCACTGATCGGTGGAATTTGTTTGAAGAAGATGAACCTGAAGACCTGCTCGAGCCTGAAGATCTGCCATTTGTGTCCGGACCCGAGTTCCAGCCAAAGGAAAACACCATGGTCATTGTAGACAAGTCCGGAGTTCATCGCCTGGAGATTCGATGTTGTGAATGTCCGAATGCCATGAGTCCGGACATTCAAATGTTTCGACACAGATTTTTCCCTGCATCTTTCAACAGGCCAAAGACTGTGTTCACCTTCAGAGTGCTCAATGATTTTTCTACTGGACAGCCTTGAATGCGGCACCTCGGCGATGAACTATTACAGCAAGCTCCAGCGAATGACCTCCAGCATGTTTCCACACCTTGTTCCGGTAATGCCTTACCCTCTTCATCTACTGGACATCATATTGACAAAGCACATTGCAAGGACCGATACAGAGAGCTCATGAGGGTCGCTCGACAGTGGAGGCAGTTGAAGACAATGAAATGGCATGGCTTTGGCCATCGTTCTGATAACCCGAGCACAGGAGAACTCGCATTATTTTGACCCGGCGTGTCCTCAGCCAGGGATTAATGTGCTGTTGTCAGAGGATGAATCGCTTGATGAGTGAGTCCTATTCTCAACCAATGTGGCCTCCATAATAATACTAGCGATCCAAGCTGGAAATACACCCGGTCATTTGTGATGGACGGAAATTTCAAAGCCGAACATCTGCATCCCATTAAGCCATTCGATGAAGTTTGGCTATCCGATGGGCTTGGATTCATGGTAGGAAAGGACAGTATAAAATGCATCTGGCAGAGGCTGCTGACACGGTGGAAAAATCAAGCTGCAACAACCACCGGGCAGTAAATCAAGCTAATGCTGCTCGGCACAAGCTGGAGTCCACCGGTATCGGGGGAGTTGCCTGTGCCAGACACGGTTGCTTTGTCCCTCACTCCATGGTGAATTTTCAGAAAGGCGAAAGGCAAGCCACATCCACCATTCCTCATTCACGAGTTAACCATGGGTCACTTGCAGACAAATGAACATGGACTACGCCCTTTGCGAGGCTTCCCGGCACAACATGGAAGGCATCACCAGGGCTGTCACCTTCTATGATATTAATTGTCAATACAACAAACACTTTCGGGTTCGGGTGGATCGAAGTCGATTTCTAGACATGGCACCAGCAACTAACCATCATTCCCGGAATTGGGTTGTGGCACATTCATGGCCATCAGGACAGCTGCTATGTCCGATATGCTTCTAACTTTATTGAAGGCATTGGTCGGATCGATGGAGAGAATCATGGAGACGCTATGGGCACGGCTCAATCTGATCTCCCCTGCTGCTCGGGGAATGTCATCTCCACACCGAAAGGAATGCCTTGATTATCAGATGAATGACTCCAATTTCTGCAAGATGATTCGCATGAAAAGGACTCTATGCCGGAAATACAAGCTGGCGAGGAATGGCATCTCGGAAAGTGGAAAGGCATTTGACAGACTCGATGAAGCAGCACCCTCACATTTGAAGACAGAATGGTTAGCCAGGGAGAGGATAGCTCAGTCAAGCAGATTGAATGATCCTGCGGCGATGGATGAATATGAGATCAATATAAAAAAGGGTACGTTGAGTTCCATTGTCTCCATCGAGGTCTGAATTAATATTGCACTCAGCACCAAGCAAAAAGGAGATCGAGCTTAGATTATTAGAGGAGGGTAACGCCCGCAATGCAGCACCCTCTCGCAGATCTGTGGCGACGTGGATATCAACAGGGTTAGCAATTGAAGAGGCTCAGATTGCATTGCTCATCGAGGTCCGAAGGATCGGAAGAAGATCCACTGAGACACAGAGATTAGACATTGCCCGTCAACGCGATCGGCTCCAAGGCCAGATAGATGGATTTGCTCGGTCTGCTCTAACACATCTCGGGGAGGGATTTGATGCAGATGATGAACCTGAGGACTTGAACGTAGACATTCTAGATGATCTCGATGATGACCCGGCTGGATTTCACAGAGACATCTCATACATGGACAAACTCTCCCGAGCTCACTGTAATCCCGTTGCCATCAAACCTGGGGGTTGATAGATGCAGACGATGCATGGCAGAGGATCTGATTCCCCTGGAGATGTCTCTTCGTGAAGGGCAGGCCAATGATGCCCTTCACAATCTCCGCATTTACCTTTGCAACAAGGCCATCCTGTTCCGAACAACCGTTAGGCAGGCCAAATCCCAGGCCCTGAAAACTCGAGCTTGGTCCCAGGTGACGTCGGTGCAGCAGGCAGTCTCCCTCCATGCCAGCATATATACAAAGACCAGGAAGCAAATAATGAAACTTGAGCCGGGGCAAGACCAGCTTCAGAAATACAAACCCCTGCTTCAGCGAGCAACTCAAAATCAGCACTGCAGTGGGCGACCCAAATGCCCGAGGTCAACGAAATGAATCTTTGGCTTGGTTTTGGTCTGTTGAAGTCGACCTCGGGGGTCCTGATCAATCGTGGAATGAGGAATGTGAGTTCCTGCTTGCATGTCATATCCCACGGTTACCTGACTGGACCCATGCCAAGTTTACCGAGTCCATTGGCTGCGGGCAAAGGCACTACGAGATCGATGGAGGGAAGAAATGATATTGGTCAAATTGGAGATGGATTGGACATGTAAGTTCTTTTTGTGGAAAGCAACCCAATGGGGCGACCACATGCAGGAATCATTGGAGAAACGCCTTCCGGGTCACGGATGCTATGCCGGAAGGCAATCACGAATGTATTCATTGCTCGCACAGGATGCGCAGGCAGCTTTTCAAGACCTACAAAACGTGTTGATAGAGGCTGGAGATGAATGAACATTGTTTTCTCATGAAGTCCCTTTTTCCACATACATAATTGAGGCCCGGGAATTGTCCGGGTCAGCCCATGTCGGAGTTTGAATTTCGTATCCATCCATCAGTGATTCTTATCTTCACATCTTCACCATCTTTCACTTGCATTGCCAGCGCCATAGTCCTGTATTAGCCATGCCTGCAACTCCTGCATCCACTTCTGGCACTCTGAATGCCGGAAGCCATTACCGACCCCTGAAGCTGAGCCTTGGAACTATTTCCTGCACATTGGCAATGGCTGGATCGCGGGTCCGTGCATGCATCTCTCAATATCAGACGGAAGCTGCCAACAATGGTCTATCTTCTGACCGGATAAAGTATTTTAAAGCCGGGCTGCAATGGGAGATGAATGTATGTTACCACTGCCCTGATGACTTTGTTGGTCAATGCTAAAAATTTGAGCAGACTTTTGTCACACCACTCCTGCAGTACTCAGCTTCACAGAATATCGTGTCGGTTCTTCCGGTCCCTGTCGCTTATATCCTTAAGTTGTATCCCATGCTAACCTGGAACACGGTTCCGGATGACGTCTTTTCATTCCACCTCCTTTCATTTGATGATGAGGCAATTGCAGGACATCCGTCCCGGATTGTGTTTGCATATACATGTCCATGGTGGATGGGAAACACCACAATCCCGGATCAACCATGGCAGTGGGATGAAATAATGGCTTCCTGCGTCTCTCACTACCAGTATTGGGCGGTAAGATGTTAGCTGAATTGCCTTGATTGATGACTTATCTGTTCTAGCTTAATGTTGAGGATGATGCTTTGGTTCTTCCAGAGAAGTTGAGAAACACTTCGACTCCACCACTTATGGGACTGAGGTGGATTAAAGAACGCATGGAAGCATTGATGGAGGAGCAAGATGAGGGCATCAAAGCCAAGATGGCAGAGGTGAAGATGTACACTGACATGTTAGAGAAATTGAGGAAAGGCAAAGGAGTGTAGTCCCATTCAGTGTTCATTGTATACAAGATGTAAAATATTCTATGCATTCAAAAATCTTGCACCCGAGTCCTGGAAGCCCAGGTCCCGAGTCCCGAATTTCGGAGTTTGGGGTTCGGCGACCCGGAGCTCGGCAACTGTGTTGGGTGTCAGGGTATGCGGAGCATTGGAGATAGCATGTGTCAGTATTTTGCATTTCATGGTTTATGTTTGGCTGACACATGCGATCTCCAATGTTCCGGATACCCTGACACCCAACACAGTTGCCGAGCTCCGGGTTGCCGAACCCCGAACTCCGAAATTCGGGACTCGGGACTCGGGTTTCGGGACTCGGGACTCGGAGTTCGTGACCTGGGACTCGACAGTGTTCTGAATACCGAGTCCCTGACGCCCAATTCTATAATCACGAAAGATTCCATAATCACGAAAGATGAACCATGAAACGCAGAATACTGACACATGCTATCTCCAATGCTCCGGATACCCTGACACCCAACACAGTTGCCGAGCTCCGGGTCACCGAGTCCCGAAGCCCGAGTCCCGAGTCCCGAATTTCGGAGTTCGGGGTTCGGTGACCCGGAGCTCGGCAACTGTGTTGGGTGTCAGGGTATCCGGAGCATTGGAGATCGCATGTGTCAGCCATGAACCATGGTTCATACTGACACATGCTATCTCCAATGCTCCGGATACCCTGACACCCAACACAGTTGCCGAGCTCCGGTCACCGAGTCCCGAACCCGAGTCCCGAGTCCCGAATTTCGGAGTTCGGGTTCGGTGACCCGGAGCTCGGCAACTGTGTTGGGTGTCAGGGTATCCGGACATTGGAGATCACATGTGTCAGCCAAACATGAACCATGAAATGCAAATACTGACACATGCTATCTCCAATGCTCCGCATACCCTGACACCCAACACAGTTGCCGAGCTCCGGGTCACCGAACCCCGAACTCCGAAATTCGGGACTCGGGACTCGGGCTTCGGGACTCGGTGACCCGGAGCTCGGCAACTGTGTTGGGTGTCAGGGTATCCGGAGCATTGGAGATAGCATGTGTCAGTATTCTGCATTTCATGGTTCATCTTTCGTGATTATGGAATCGGCGTCAGGGACTCGGTATTTAGAACACTGTCGAGTCCCAGGTCACGAGCTCCGAGTCCCGAGTCCCGAAACCCAGGTCCCGAGTCCCGAATTTCGGAGTTCGGGGTTCGGCAACCCGGAGCTCGGCAACTGTGTTGGGTGTCAGGGTATCCGGAACATTGGAGATCACATGTGTCAGCCAAACATGAACCATGAAATGCAAAATACTGACACATGCTATCTCCAATGCTCCGCATACCCTGACACCCAACACAGTTGCCGAGCTCCGGGTCGCCGAACCCCGAACTCCGAAATTCGGGACTCGGGACCTGGCTTCCGGGACTCGGTATTCAGAACAGTGTCGAGTCCCGAGTTCACAATGTCGGGGTTCAGGGTTTTTGTCAAATGTGTACGGCAATAACAAATGTTAATTTGAGCATATTGATACATCTTCCCCCAGTCTCAAATATCAAGTGCTGAGGTCCGGGTGTCGGGACTCAGTACCCCGGCACTTGGGACTCCCATATGTCAAGTCCCGAGTTCCGATTATCGAATACCGAGGCTCGCATCCAAATTATTAAGTCCCATATATCACTTCGCAAATGCTCACAATTGAGTATTGAGGTCCAGATAACTATTGGTACATGGTAT